CATGCCTATGTATGATAGACTGACACCTAGGGGTGTTTGGGATTGCTTTTGAACATCAAAAGTCCTTTTTGTAGAAGGACTTTTTGCAAAAGGAACTCTTTAAAATGTGTTTGGATTAGCAAAAAGGACTTTTGGTTTAACTTTTTCATGTAAAGTCACAAAAAGTTAGGTTTTTGTGACTTTTTGAAACCCCTCATTTTATTCTATGCAAAAAGTCATTTTCAAAAGAACTTTTCTATTACCCAAACATCTTTTGGCTTTTTTTTGACTTTTTGAAAAAATTAAAAGTCAAAAGTCATTCTAAAATCAATACCAAACACCCCTACAGGCGGTAAACCTGCCTGTGTATGGCTTGTAAACATCTATAGGTTACAGCCCTGTCCACGTTGACTTATAAACATCTACAGGTCGTGTGTCTTCCCATGTTTTTGACCTGCCTTGTATAGAATTGTATGTGGTCATTATCAATACCCTACTAGGTAACTACACCACTAGTCCGGTAGTACTATTAAAGTCTCAGCCTCTCTTCATTATTTTCATCTCTCTTTACCCTTCACTACCCCATATATTATAAGTATAAAAATACATATATGGTTAAACAAAATTGGCTTATATAATTTCATCTAACACAGAAGGTTCCAATCACAGATAATAGGCAAATATAGCATTTTAATTATCTAAATACTTTATATTTGTATGTAAGATGAAAGTAACTATGCACTTACTTGATAAAAGTGGATGCCTCAGAATTTGAGCAGAACTTCGCCGTGGTACTTAATCTTTTTCTCTGGCGTGACCTATGTTCACATTACTAAGTCTTAGTCTTATATTTATGGCGATTAATGATAGTCTAGATTCCTCACTAATCTCAATGTCTACATCAAGATCTATCAAGTAAGATCATATTGGTTCATAATAACGATTATACTGTTTGAAGGTAGGGTCCGTTTGGTATACAAAGTATACTGTTTGAAAATCTCACTTTAAACACCTCACTAAATCTAGCCTTGACATCATCTCCGTAAGTAGATCAATCAGTATAATGATGTTGGAATCACTGATAAATCTTAATTATAGGTTCATAATAACGATTATAACTATAATTAGAAGTTACACTTGAATAAAATAAGTGTAGCTTAACTTACAAAGTATTCTGACGAAAAATTGGGAATTATACAGGCATAACTCTGATCCGGGAGCTTCTAATCATTGACTATCTGACACCGCAAGGCCTCGCTAACAGAGTCAGAAATTTAGGGAATAAAGGGATGAAGATAAGAAAGAGTTTTCAGAGAGAATCGGGGTGAAGGGATGAAGGAATAAGCGGAGAATTGAACATATTTATAGGGATGAAAGAAATACGCGTCGCACAAATAGTCGGTGCGCGCCATGAAATTGGTTGGACCGGGTGACGTGGCAGCTTCTGGGTGGTGACACGTGTCGGCAAACTGGTGGAGTGTCAGTGCACGCTACGCATGCTGTCTGTGCGCGCGAGAAATTATATATATTTTTAAAAATTTATATCTTTTTCATACGAGCTCCGTTTTCGACGCGTTTTATATCCATATATAGTTATCTATGAGATCTACAACTTTCATTTAGACTCTGTAGGCTAATTTTTTACTTTATTTTTAAATTTATATTCTTAACAAACTTAGATTGTTAAAGTCCGTTAAAAATTCATAACTCTCTCATATGATATCCATTATCGAATGTCTTTGTATCGACATATAGTAAATGACGATACCTTCAACTTTTGTTTAGATTGTTTTTCCTAACAATTGACTGATTTCAATTTCGGTTTCTGAGCTGTATACTGCTACGCTGAAATATTAGAAAAATCATAACTTCCTCTTATGATGTTAGATTTGAGTGTTTCTATATGTATGGAATCCTTGTCACATATACTATAACTTTGATTAATATTATTTATCTTATCAAAAAATCATTTTCAACACTTATAATGTCTTTATTGACCAACCTGAATCTGCGGGTGTTATAACTACAATACAACTTAAGATATTTGTCATAAAATTCAATCATATTGTTTGGAAACAAAAAAACAAAATTCTTTTCATACTCTTTCAATGGTTCAAATCTTGATTTAAGAGAAGCTTCTCCTTGATCAACAATATATAAAATTAATTAACTTTAAAATTCTCCTTGTCTAAAAGTACGACATTTTGATTACTTGGATTCTCATCACATTGTTGTTTCTATGAATGGGACATTTAGAGGGAATATTGAGTCAATCTTCATTTCAACCGAAATTTCCTTAACATCATCAATTGCCTTAGAGAACTATGTTTCTCTAAACTGTCCGAAGAATTCAATCAACATAATCACTTCTTTAATAGCAATATCAAGAAGCATATCCTTTTATTGTAAATCTTTGCTAACCAATTTCACCATATATAGTATTTTAGCTTGAGCTCTTGGAATTAGAACGAAAATGGGATTTGACTTTGGATTACCAGATTGTCGATTGCCGATTGCTAGATAGCAAACTAAATCGTATGTAAAAACGGACCACCTTGTAAAAAACTCAAACAATTTACAACATCAATAGTCCTTTTATTAATAAAATATGAACCATTTGGTTTTCAAGCTACTTACAAACTAAACCTATCTACATTCACCCTCACACTCATAAATCTAGATAGAAAACAAGAAATCTAGATAGAAAACAAGAGCAGAGAAAAATGTATTAAGACTCAAACAACACTAGAACTATATGAAACCCTAATACACAGACCCTAACAATAACAACAACACAAACTATTTAAATAGGGGTTTAGACTTATCAATTCAAAGAGAAATCCTCTTTCTCAGGCCAAAGTATTTATGCAAGAAGGGTAGTTGTTGTTGTAAAGTTTCAAGATCTTTATAGGTTTATGGTAGATGGAAATGTTGATAATGTGAATGTATTGGTTGTCATTAAGGAAAAGACATATGTTTCCCTCAGATCGTCCCTCTTAGGTTTTCTGTATTAATCAATGTAATTACCTATTTACTACATAAGCAAATCAGAAAGGGTACCTTCAACTTTCAGGTCTAAATTATGTTTTTTCTTGGGTAGCTAAGAAGAAGTCTGAAGCTGTGATGATGACAGAAAGTCAGGCACCAAGATCACAAAGACTTGCCGTAGTCAATACTCATTGTGGGAAGAAGGTTGCTACAATATGCTCACTCCATCTCCTTTGCTGATGTAGAATATAGAGCTTTTGCATCTTCCATGTTGATGTATTTTGTGAAAACAAATATGCAATTTCGTTACCTTCTAACCTTTGTGGCATATACAAACTAGTCTCGTTGAGATTAATATTCATTTGATAAATGTGATTAAAGGGACAATGTATTTGATGGTTAGTGGAGTAAAGACGGTTAAAGTTGACACTATGGAACACGTGGCAAATCATTAACACACCAACATAATTATTTATGTGAAAAGTTTAGGTTGAGTGAGGGTGTTAAAAAGATGTTGAAAGGAATGGAACCTTCACTTGATTATGATGCATTGTAACATAAAATCATCAACTTGGCATGTTTGTCATCACATGTCCTCAAATAATGTAAAGAATATGAGAACTTAAGAGAAAAGTGTTCAAGATACTATGAATATTTGGTTTCTTATGTCAAATACGAATATAAATTTGTGGTAGATTTTTGTATGTTAATCAAAATTGTGATACCATTTAGAAAAATCAAAGAATTTACAACATCAATAATCCTTTTATTAAAAGAATAAGAACCCCCGCTACTTACAAATTAAACCTCACTACATTCACCATCTCACTCATAAATCTAGATACAAACAAGAACAGAGTAAAACATATTAAGACTCAAACAACACTGAAGCTATTTGAAAACGTAATACACAAACCCTAACAACAACAAAGAAAATATGAAAGAGCTACACAAACGGATGAGTGAATAATGATCATCTGAGAGCTGAAACATGCATTAAATATCCGGGGCACAAACACAGGTAAAACCCGTATCAAACCTGGTATTTGAACCGACCAAGTGCTTTTTCCAACTTTAAAGGAAACCAGCCGCAACCCCTTAACTTCCAAAACAATCACTTTCAACCCTTCTTTTCTTTAAACCCATTAAAACATTCAAGAATGCAACATTTAAAAAAAAAAAATAACTTTTTTATCTAACAATGATAATCTTGCCCTTTTATTCTTAACAACCCCTCTATGACATGGACCATATGTCGCCCATCTCGCATGTCCTCAAAGATGCCCCTTGTGGCGTGGTGTTAGTTTTTATACCAAATATGCAATGACGTTTTAGAATATAACCATATCATGCAACTCATTAACTTGAAAACCGTTAAATATATGACGTGATGTTGGTTTTTAAATATAGAGCCACATAAGCATTTGACGTGTACAAGCCAATTTACCAAAAATTCCACATCCCTTCTACCACACTGGATCATCAAATCTCGATGTATTTTCTTCATGCATTGAGGATCGAATAGAGCAGCGATGCTATCCTCATCTTCATATTGGTGCTGATTAATGTGTAGTTTCAAGATCTCGAATTTAATTTATCTTTTCAACCATGAAAGCCGATGCAAGAGGGCGAATGTTGTTGTAAAGTTTCAAGATCTTTATAGGTTTATGGTAGAAGGAAATGTTGCTAATGTGAATGTATTGGTTGTCGTTAGGGGAAAAGACATATCATCCCTCCTAGGTTTTCTGTATTAATCAATGTAATTATCCATTTACTACATAAGCAAATCAGAAAGGGTACCTTTAGCTTTCAGGCCTAAACTGTGGTTTCTTTATTTGGGCAGAGCTTAGAAGTCTGCAGTTGTGATGAGGACAAAAAGCTCATTGTGTGAAGAAAAGCTGCTGCTACAATATGCTCGCTCTAATTCCTCTACAGATGCAGAATATAGAGCTTTTGCAACTTCGTTACCTTCTAAACTTTGTGGCATATACAAACTAATCTCGTTGAGATTGATATTCATTTTTTAAAGGTGATTAAAGGGACAACAGATTTGATGCTGGAGTAAAGGAGGTTAAAGTTGACACTGTGGAACGAATGGCAAATCATTAACACATCAACATAACTACTTGTGTGAAAAGTTGAACATTAGGTTGAGTGAGGGCTTATATTTGTCATTTCAGGGCTTCAAATGTAAAAGAATACGGGGACTAAAGAGAAAAGTATATCAAGATATTCTGACTATTTGGTTTCTTACTATCAAATAAGAAGATAAAACTGTGTTAGATATTTATATATTAATCAAAGCTTCACACCTCAAACCCTCACTGGGTGTTATTGTCAAATGTGAATCTACTTTGTTTATGAATCGTTGTGACATTTTCTATTATTTCAAGAATTGACAGATTCATTTTATGACAAGTGCAAACAGATTCATTTTTAGGATGAGAAAATTTTAGTTGTTTTTGTTTCATTTCTTGACATTTGAATAAAACAGAGCAAAAGCTTAATCATTAAATAAAAACCATGATATCATTGAAATGGCAACAGTACGTTATATAAAACATCAAGTATTCGCGTTACTTAATAAAACATAATGAACGATTGATTGTTTTTCAGAAAACACCACCTCTAAGACGCAGAACAAGGTGCAGAGTGGACTCCTTTTGAATATTATAATCAGCCAAAGTCCGCCCATCTTCAAGCTGCTTCCCAGCAAATATAAGCCTCTGTTGATCAGGCGGAATACCCTCCTTGTCCTGAATCTTTGCCTTGACATTATCAATCGTATCCGAGCTCTCAACCTCTAGAGTGATCGTCTTCCCTGTCAGTGTCTTGACAAAAATCTGCATCCCTCCCCTCAACCTCAGAACAAGATGCAAAGTCGATTCTTTTTGGATGTTATAATCAGCTAGGGTCCTACCATCTTCCAACTGCTTACCAGCAAAGATCAGACGCTGTTGATCCGGTGGAATCCCTTCTTTGTCCTGAATCTTAGCCTTGACATTGTCGATCGTATCAGAACTTTCAACCTCTAGAGTGATCGTTTTCCCGGTTAACGTCTTGACGAAGATCTGCATTCCACCACGGAGGCGGAGGACGAGATGAAGAGTCGATTCCTTCTGAATATTGTAATCCGCTAGGGTTCTGCCGTCTTCCAACTGTTTCCCGGCGAATATGAGCCTTTGCTGATCAGGGGGAATCCCTTCCTTATCCTGGATCTTTGCTTTAACGTTGTCGATTGTATCAGAACTCTCGACTTCCAAGGTAATGGTCTTGCCGGTGAGAGTTTTGACAAAGATCTGCATACCGCCGCGGAGACGGAGGACGAGGTGAAGGGTGGACTCCTTTTGGATATTATAATCGGCTAGGGTTCTGCCGTCCTCGAGCTGCTTGCCGGCGAAGATGAGCCGTTGTTGATCCGGAGGAATTCCTTCCTTGTCCTGGATCTTGGCTTTGACATTATCAATGGTATCGGAACTCTCCACCTCGAGAGTAATCGTCTTCCCCGTTAGGGTTTTCACGAAGATCTGCATATTTTGAAGGATTATCGAATGAATGGATTGATCTTGATATGAATCGAATGAATTGATGGATGAAAGAAGAGAAGAACGGGTCTCAATTTATAGTCAGGGAGGTAACAAAAAGTGGCGTCGTTGGGGACTTGGGATCAATACCGAAGCTTCCGGCAGTTCCTAGAGGTGTCTAACAACGTGTTGTACACGTTAATTCTAGATGCTTCCATTCATCATTCGATTGCAATTGCATCCAATTTTTTTAAGGTCGTCTGGCTGACACTGAAATCCTTAAAATTAGGGAATAGGAATCCAGGTTGATACTTATGGATTTTGATTAAGTTTTCAATAGGATTTAAAATTTTATGGATTTTGATTAAGTTTTCAATAGGATTTAAAATTTTAAATGAGTTTATCTTTATAACAAATTACGCGAATGGTCCTTTAGGTTTTGGTTTTTTTCCTAATGTGTCCCTACGGTACTTTTTTCCTTCAAATAGTACATACGAACGATAAGTTGCACGCGTTTGGTCCCCAAGTTGGATGTCCATCCATTCCAACGTTAAGTTGCCTCCATGTGACTTGCACATGAGGGTAATTATGTCATTTTACCCTAAAGGACCTTTTCTGAACATTTTATTAACGACTATATTACTTCTTCTTGTTCTTCCTCCCAATTCAATCGATCACTACTACTGTTAGAGAAAGAAGGCTGCAGAAAATGCCGATATGTGCTTGTGGAAATCGTGATCTAGCGATCGTCACTTCCTGGTCAGATCGCAACCCTGGAAAGCGATTTTGGTCTTGTCTTCGTAATGAGAGAATGTATGGTTGGATTGGGTGGTTTGATGAGCCCATGTTCCCTAGATCGGTGGAAGTGATACATGGGTTACTCAATTCTATGAACAAGCTCCAAGAATCCCTTCAACAAGCTATCATGCAAGCTAGGATGTATAAGTTAATCATTCTCTTCAGTTGGGGTCTTTTTGCAATTCGTTACTTGAAGCATGGTTGAAGTTGCGTCTGAATGTGGTGTCTAAATGCAGGAAGTATTGTCGTAGTCGTAGGGTTAATGTACTGGTGGTCTTATTTTGAGTCTGAAGACAGGAAATTGTAGCATGGTTTATGTAGTGTTTGTGTCTGTTTTGAGTTTGAATGCAAGAAATTATGTTGTGGTTAATATTGTCTGAATGATATAGTCTTTATGCAATCAAATGGTTTAATTTCAGAACAATGTTATTGTGTCATGGCTTATGTGTGTTGTATTGTTTCCATTTGTCCATACACTTTGAATATCCCAAATATTATTTGACAAGAACACCAATTTAACAAAAATGCTATTGTATATGACAACAGCAGTTCACATCGTTTCATAGTTTAAAAATATGTACAAATATTCAAGGTCAACATGCATGACCATACAAAAAATAGGAGCCCAAAGTAAGTATTGTTTGTTACATAAACATAGGTGTTAACACGACCATAAAAGTAAGTTGCAAGTTACATCAAAAGACCCAACACTTAACAACAACACCCCCATCCTCACTTCTTTCCTCCTGTGTCTCCAGTTCTTTTGTCATTAGGGCCACCTTGACCTTTACAAGTTCGTGAATTATTCCCTTTGTTGTTGCACTTTCCACATGTGACAGTGGTCCACATCTTGGACAGTTTATGCCCATGTGTAGCAGGTTCATCATATACCCTCTTCTTCTTCTTCTTGGGCCTACCCACCTACAAATGTATATAAGATTAAATTGTTGTTCTTCATCGACTGTAGTTATATTGATATATGAAGACATACCTGAACAACATGTTCGGGTGGAAGCAAATTGGTTCGGCATGGTGATTTGGGCCACATCAATCTACCAGTTATAGGTTCAATTTTGTATTTGTATACTTCTGCCCATGTAACTAGCCAGTAGAATGGGTGGACCCAATGCTCCAACTCAGGAACATTCTTTGCTCCATGTTTAATCTTGTCCCATATTGCACTTATTGCATGTGAGCGTAACATGCTTGTAATTTCCCAATGTCTACATGTGCATGTTTTTTCATCCAAATTCACAATAAACTGATCACCCCAATGAGTAGTGACTTGAGTTTTACCCTATTGAAAATACACCTGTGCTTTTGTGCTTGTCTTTTCATTTGATCAAAAAGAGTAGTGGCATTTGGTGTGAGAGGACCATGAGATCTATCAATCTCTCTTTGGACAATGCAAATTCTCTTCATCAAATACTCTCTAATATACTCCAAACAATAAATGATAGGTTTATCCCTACCACCTTGTATTTTTCCATTCACAACCTCACACATGTTATTCAACAAGATGTTAGTATGTGCCCTCCCTGTTTAGTGATAAAATACAAAATAAGAACAAAACCTAACAATGACAAGTAAATGTAAACATCATTGAAAGATGAAGTGCTAACCTGAGAAATGAGATCTTGCCCAATGAGTTGGAGGAATATGTATCACCCAATCATGAGCTTCAGCATTGAATTTTTTTTAGCTCTTCTAATGCTTTCTCAAAATGCCTTACAGTAGTAGCAGTTGCACATGCCCACATAAAATCTTTGAGCTCTTTATCCTTCCACTGTCTTTTCATATTATCATATATATGCCTGAGACAGAACATATGCTCAGTTTGAGGGTAAAGTTTGGCAATTGCAAGAATGATGCCCTAGTTAAATATTTCAATAGTTATTTGACTAAATAACAATAATATCAAATTAAATTGAAGTATATGTACCTTCTACCTATCTGAGATGAAAGTGAAGTTTGAATTAACATAAAGTTCCAGATCATCACCAAGTTATTCCAAAAACCATGTCCATGAATCTGTGGTTTCATTTTCAACAAGTGCATATATATATATATATATATATATATATATATATATATATATATATATATATATATATATATGTATATATATATATATATCCCATTATTGGAATCTACCCCTACGACAGTCAAAATTTGACCAGGATAGGGACCTTTCATGAATGTACCATCCACCCCTATGAAATCCCTTAGATTAGCCTTAAATACTTCCTTCAATGCCCCTAAACAAATGTAAATTCTCCTAAACGTCTTTGTATCAGAATTTATATTTGGCTCGGTGTGACAATCGATCTTGACATTAGTACCTGGGTTTCTTTCCATCAAATAGAGTCCATAGTCCCTCAAGATAGCATATTGTTTATGAAAATCCTCAAAAACATGCTTCTGAGCCAATGCCTTTTCCCGATGTACCTTCATTCTTGACATGTTCATCTCGAATTTCTGGATGAGATCTTCTTGAAGTGCATTGATTGGAATGGTTGGATTACTCTCAATTTGCTTCACAATGTTTTTTGCAATGAATTTGTAGTTGCAAGCTTTAATGGCTCTTGATTGCACACACCGATGTTCATTAACTATGGTGGTCACCACCCAGTCATCTGTCTCTTTAAGTCTAGACACTAGTACAACCCAAGGACATTTACCCTCTTTCATATTTACTGTTTTGTCCTTGAATCCAGTCCTTGACTTTGTCCATGGCCCACCACTCATATATGGGACCACTCCTCTACACTTATCCCTTATCCTTGCTTTGTCATTTTTTTTCAAAATGTAAATCCCTTTTGGTTTCTACTGCATGTTTGTTTATATAGTCTTTCACATCTTTCTTTGTTTTGAACTGTTGTCCCGATGTGAAAGCCTTTGGATTAACTACACCTTCAAAATAAGATTTTGCTTTTCCTATGTCTCTCAACATCCTCTCTCTGTTGTTATCTTCACCTACAATAGGTGAATCAAATGATTATGGGTCTATGACCTCTAAATTTTCACCTTCAGTAAAGTCAACACCACTACCACTTGCTTCTTTGGTCGTTTTTTGAACCCACTCAACATCTTCATCAACATGTATATGAAAATCTTTCATATCAACATCCACATCATCTACAATCTTTTCTAAATCCACAAAGAAGTCTTCATCCTCACTATCATCATCTGTCCTATTACCCTCACTCCTACTACCCTCACTCCAAGCACCATCACTAACACTTTCCTTACTTCCACTATATTTATCCTCAAAAAAACTGAACATCATGTAGATTTTTTCCCCACCATATTCTGCATCTACATCCCCCATTACCTCATAATCATCCACTGGATCAGCATCCCCTTTTGGTTGGTGATTATCCCCTGTGTCAACGGCTCTTTTACCTTGGTTATCCTCAAATTGTACCCCTAAAGGGATCACTCTCTCGATCAGTTGGGTGTTTTTTTTGTTAATCACGGGTTCATAGGGTACAATCAACTTTGACAAATAAGTGGGCTCATTCAAATCCAACTTTTTACTACATGACCCAACTGGTCTCCTTTTCATTCTAACCCTATTCATTTCAGGAGAATGATCCCCTTCAACTTCCTTAATACGAACCTTCAATGGGGACTTAAAGTAAGGGACTACTCTAGTCTTCCCATGCTCAATGTACAAATTAATTTCCTTATGATTAGGCACATACCTTGCCAACTGAATGACTTCCTGATCGGTGCCAAGGGGTAACAATCCCCTATCCAAGTCTGTCTTTAGGATCATGAAATGGTAAAACATTATACCTCCATCATTGTACCCTAAAACTGCCATCATATCATCTAGCTCGTAGACTGAAAACACATCCATGTCCACAAAATCAAAGTGGTCCACAAGCCCATCTATGTACGACCTTCCAGATACTGTATTGGTGAACGAACCCCCATGATTTATCTTGAATGTGCAAAAGCTTGAAATAGAACATGAGGTGAAAATTCAAGAACAAAATGTTATTGATGGAGGAAAGCAAAATTACATGTGTACAAAATTTCATCAAACCTAGCATTACAAGGTCTGTGCTTACCATATTCTTTACGTAGCTCATGTGGTTGGGTGTAGCGTGGACATAACGTGTCACAACTAGCATGTTTACTAGGAAATTCTATTCTCGTGTAATCATTCAACTATTGTAAAACATATACTCTAAGTAAATATC